CTCAGGTCCTGGGCCCGGTCCTCGAAGCCTAAAACCTCACTCCAGAGGAGTCTTTACTGGGCCCGGACCCCACCTTCACAACTCTCCCGGGGCTTGCCGCGTGCCACCTGGGGCTTCCCGCGTGCCTCCTGGGCTCCAGCGCATCTCGTCGCGTGACTTGTTGGGGCCCAAGATGGCCCCAAGACGGGCCAAGAGGGCCCCAAGAGGCCCGTCAAGACGGTCCAAGAGGGCCCCGAGACGCTGAAGGATCGCTCCAAGAAGCTCGAGATTGCCCCCACACGGCCGAAGAGGCCTCCAAGACGCCCAGAGAGGCCCCCCAGAAGCTCCCCAAGACGGTCCCCAGGATGCCAAAAGCATTGATTGTCCGCAAATCTCACCAGGCCTCTGGGCGTGAGTGGTTTCGAGAGCCCGCTCTGTTCTCAACCCCCTTCTTCCCCTTCGGGGAGGGGTTTACCCCTCCCCCTACCCCCTCGCCCTGGGCCTGGAGAGGGCGCCCCGCGGGTGGTTGGAGGGGTCTGTTTCGACTCCTGGGAGGGCTAAAATTCGACACCACTCACGAGGATTCTGGCCCCGACGGGGGGAGGCAGAAAAATGCTCGCCCTATCTGTGATCGATCGCCCGACAGATGGCCCCAAGATTCCTCCCAGACCCCTCCCAAAGAGTCCCAAGAGGCCCCAAGAGGCCTCCAGGAGGCCCCCAAGATGCCCCGAAGAGGCGCCCAAGAGGCCCCAAGAGGCTCCCCCCAGGCGCCCAAGACGCTCCTGGAAGCCCCTGGAGCCGCCGAGAGGCCCCCAAGACGCCCCAAACGGCCTCCAAGAGGCTCCCAAGAGGCCCGAAGAGGCTCCCCCAAGGCACCCAAGACGCTCCTAGAAGCCCCTGGGGCCGCCAAGAGGCCCCGAAGACGCCCCAAAAGGCCTCCAAGAGGCTCCCAAAACGACTCACACCACGACGAGGGCCCCGAACGACTCACACCACGAGGAGCCCGAACGAGTCACACCAGGAGGAGGGGCCCGAACGACTCACACGACGACGAGGGGCCCGAACAACTCACACCACGAGAAGCCCGAACGACTCACACCAGGACGAAGAGCCCGAACGACTCACATCACGAAGAGCCCGAACGATTCACACCAGGAAGAAGGGCCCGAACGACTCACACCAGGACAAGAAACCCCAAACGACTCAAACCACGAGGAGCGCTTTCTCTCCCTCCTCCTCCGCCTCGTCCTTCTCCCGCTCCCACCACAAGGAGGATGTACAAGGAGGCGGGAGGAAGGAGGAACAGGGGAGATATGCGGGGGCAGGCGGAAACACGCCTGAAAAACACGACTGTCGGCATGCTTCGCAAGAGTTGCTGTTTTGAGATGGGCTGGTGGGGATACGCGAAGCGTAAAGAATTGTTTGAAGCAGTTTGGCGTCCTCGCCTTTTCGGCTTCCCGACGTTCCCAGACGGCCCTAGTGGCCCACAAGACTGCCCCAGACGGTCCCACAGGCCTCCAAAAACCGCCCAAGAGGGTCCTAAGACTGTTTTTGTTGCCAAAGCAATCCTCGCGGCAATGCTTAGTCAATCTATCCTCTGGTGTGATGTGGTCTGACCACACCGAAAAACTGCCTGGTTAATATATCCTCTGGTGTGATGTGGTCTCATCACAGCGAAAACTGCCAGGACACTAGGTTCAGTCGGCTTGGTTGCTGGGTTTTGTCTGGTAGCCTTGAGACGGCTCGGAAAGATAGTATACAAATCACAAATGAAACTGGAAAATGTGTAAGAGCCGGTCCAGCCGGGCATGAGGGTCCCAAGACGGCCCAAGAGGTGCCAAAACGGCCCAAGAGGGCCCCAAGACGGCCCTACAAGGGGCCCAAGAACAAGAACACGAACCGAACATCCGAGCTTTCCGTCCCAAGAGGCCTCTAGGAGGCCACAAGAAGCGCCCAGGAGGCCCCACGAACTCCAAACTACCTCCAAGAGGCCCCCGAGAAGCCTTCAACGAGATCCGAACGAACATCCAATAGGCTTCATACCCACAAGCCAGGCACGGTGGCAGGATGTGCCGAAGGCCAATAGATGTGGATAAAAATCTGTCCCCCTAGATGCTCGATGCTTACCCACATCCAGTCCACCTCGGCCTTGTGGCGCGCCTTCCAGGAAGAAAAGGTTCAAGACGGATCTACCCTTTCTCCGATCTTGTACTTCGCCGCACGCATCGGCCGCGCTGCATGTAGACGCATCTACTCCGAATGTGTCCATCATTACGCGTGTCAGTATATGTGCTTGTAGCTGCAAAGCCAGAACGGCATTTGGCATAGGCCCCAGATATTTTAGAAGCAGGTCAACTTTGTCCTCCAATGGTTGGCGGCCATCCCAGGGGGGGAATTGAGAAGGGGAAGGCGGTCTCCTCAGAAGGCTCGGAAGTTCCCCCGCCTTCTGGGCAGTTGTCTAAGCCTTCCCTCAGGACACAGGGATCATCTCAGCAGGCCAGAGGGCTTCTGAGAAGCCCCGGTGCCTTCTGAGAAGGCCTTTTCCTTCTCACTTCCCGCGCTCGCTCGCCACCGAAAGAGGAGCGGGAGGAGGTGGTGGTGGAGGAGGGATGGGAGTGGGCTCTGGGCCACGAGTGGGGGAATAGAGAGACACCAGCACCGCTGCTCCCCGGACTGCACGGTTTCCCCCGGGGCCGTAGGCGACCCGGGGAGGAGGAGGAGGAGGATGAGGATGAGGAGGAGGAGGAGGAGGAGGAGGAGGAGGAGGGATGAGGAAGAGGGAGAGCTAGGGGGAGGATGAGGAGGAGGAGGAGGAGGAGGAGGAGGAGGAGGAGGAGGAGGAGGCGGAGGCGGAGGAGGAGGGACGAGGAGGAGGACGGGTCGCCTAAGCCCTTCGGAGAAACCCTCCACCCTGGACTTCTACTGGGGTGTGTGCTGACCGGACTTTCCAGGCGAGCCCACCCGTGGAGACGAGGGCCTCCCGGGAGGCCCCAAAACGGGCGAAAGCGAGGAAGGGCAGCGGTATCCGTACCTTTCCTTCCCCTCGACAGGCAGAAGGAGAAGTCCGCGCCGAGCTCAGACGCCTCCTCCGGGTGGCGACGCCGGTACCTGAGGAGGGGGGACCGGCGCAGGAAACATCGACGACCTGGAATCGGAAATGCATCACCGATAGGTCGGCGATAGGCAGCGGGTGGCAAATCTGCACGGCCCAGGGCGGGGTGGGGCTATCGCGCCCCCATCGGCGAGGAGTGGGCACTGGGGGGCCGACTCGCCCAGCCACCTCTGAGCTCCAATCTCCCCCCCCAGCGTTGCCCCTGGACTTCGAATCATATCTCGGCTCTCCAGCGGCCGTTCGGGGCGATTGGGGCTCCCCCCCAGAACGCTCTCGGCGAGGCGCAGCCGTTGGAAGACGCCCCGAGGCTGGAAACCGCCGAGAACCGACGAGAGCGCCCAAAAGTTTCACACCTCCCCGCCCACTCCGATCGTGGGCGTAAAACAAGCCTTACTCATGGCCTCGCATGCTGGCCCCCTGGGCCGCAACCCCGCCGATACGAGGCGCTTTTGCTCGTGGGTGCTCAGCGCGGAAGCTATTCGCACGACTGCGCATCCGCGGGATCGCGCCTGGGATCCAGGCCGCGAGTGCGCGGATACTACGGATATGTTCTCTGCTCGTGACCCGAGCCTACCCCCCCCAACTTGGAGGTGACCAGGGGTCTGCACTGGTTGGGACCCCAGAAAAACTGTCAGGAGGTAGGGGTTCAGCTAGGGCTCCCAACTTCGCGCTTCGCGCTGCGCGAAGCGCGAATAACTTCGCGCTCTCGCGCCGCCCTCCCAAAGGGAGAATAGGAGGACGAGGAGGAGGGGGAGAAGGAACGAGGACCGCGAAGCGCGAAGCGCGAATAACTTCGCGCCCTCGAGGGAGCCCTTGTTCAGGCCCGTCAACATCAGCCCCCGGACCCTTCCTGGGGTCCATCTGGTGAAGTCGTCCCAGATCCGCGGCCACGGGGCCCGACGGGGGCCACTGGAGGCCGAACATAACAATGAGAAGAAAACATCCCTAACCCAGGCTGGGGGAGACGTAAGACTCGGGTTCGGGGGACTCGGGTTGGCCTGACGGGGCCATCCTGAAACTGACGAGACCCAGTCTGAAATTTGGCGCGAGCTCCCGCCGCACACATTCCAGGAAGGCTGCACCGTCCAAATCCAGGACGCGCTCGCCAAAAAGCGTCGGCAGACCCAAGTCCCGGCGCGCGCGAGTCTGACGCTTCCCCGACAGAGCCTCGAGCCTGCCCCTCCCTTCCTGCCGGCCGGGGGGATGGGTGCCAGGCCTCGGCGGCGAGCCCTGGGGGGAACCATCCAGGGGGCGGGCCTCCTCGGAAGGGCCTTCCGAGAAGCGTCCCGAGCCCCGACTCCGTAGGGCAGAGGGCGGCCTCTCGGGAGGCCGGAGGGCTCCTCAGAAGCCCCGCCGCCCCCCGAGAAGGCCCGCAACCGCTCGCCTCACACCCGGACGCGCCGCCGAGGGCCACCTCAGACCTCCAGCTGGCTCCAACACCCAGCGTTGCCCCCGAGCGCCCCTCCAGCAGTCTCCCCTCCTCCAGAGCTGCCCCTCCCGCAGCCCCTCACACCTCAAGCCTCGCCCACCCTGAACCTATAACTCCCCCCAGCGTTGCTACAGGCCCCCTGGGTAGGTTCCGAGTATATGGGGTCGGAGGATTGCGCCACATCTGTGATGCGATGCATCGCCGATGCATCGGCGACGCCTGCGATACACTGGCGACATCGACGTTGAAGAAATCTGGCTCCGCAATGAGCCGCATCGCCGATGCATCGGCGATGCGGCGCAATCCTCCAACCGCAATATACGGTTGGCGTCGCAAAGATAGCGTGCAACATCGATGACCGAAAAGCACGCTATGCCTGGGAGATGATCCCCCCGCGAGGGCCCCCTCTACACACGCTATGCCTCTGCGAAGGCCTCGTCGGTGCACGCTATCCCCCTGCCAGGGCTTCTTCGGTGCACGCTGCCCCCAGGGTGGGGGATAGTGGATGATAAACGGCCCCGCGGCGCCACATCGCACCCTATCTTTGCGACATCAACCGTACTCCGACCCCACCTGGGAGGCACAGCGTTGCCCACGAGCGCCCCTCCAGCAGCTCCTCACCCTCACCCTCACCCTCACCCTCACCATTTGGGAGCGGGCCTAAGTTAGGAGGCCCAAATAATGGGGATAGGGGCTTTTTCCAGCGGATGCTTCAAACCAACCACCCAGATGGATAATCACTCATACAAAAACGGAGGCCTACATTAGGCTACGCCCTCATGGTGTTATTCGGGTTACCCGTTGGTCGGAAGAAGTAGGTAGGAACATTAATTAGGAAGGCGTCGGAAGTAGGTTGGGTCTTCGCCCACCCCCTGAAGACGAGGGATGAGGGAAAACTGCCCGATCCTTGAAGCAGAAAGGAGCCTACTTAAACCAGATTGGGATCTGGGGATCCAGAAATACTTTCATCGACAGGAGTGCAAAAACTCAACTATATTATGGGATCTATTTACCCAGGTCAATTCAAACCCGAGTCAGTCAGACTCTGCAAGAACCTGCAATATCCTGCAGGATCCTGCGCCCAAGCCTGGGTCAGTACAACCCTGGCGCTGCATGATCCTCCAAGATCCGGAGCTCTGACTGACCCCCGTCTGCATCGACCCCCGTCTCATGAGTCCAGATATATTCCTAAAGATCCGATGTCGTGATTTGTTCAATACGCGGTCCCTGGAAGTCTTGACCCAATCCCCAAGACCGGCTTTTCATCCTGAGTCGGTTTTTACTGTCACGAGGCCCGGCGAGGGCCCCTATAGTGGCCGAACTTTGCGAAACAACTCCATCTTGATTTTCTCAATGCGCTGGATCTCTGGGTTCTCTAGAGGCCTCCTAGATGGGGTCCGAGTAAATGGGGTCGGAAGAACTCGCCGCATCGCCGATACATCGGCGATGCATCGCTGTTGCATCGGCCAAGCACTAGCGAGGTCAGCGCTAAATCGGCGACGTCGGCGTGGAAAAAGTTGGGCTCCACAACGAGCCGCATCGCCGATGCATCGCCGATGCATCGGCGATGCGGCGCGATCCTCTGACCCCATCTACTCGGACCCCATCTGGGAGGCCTAGATTCTCGGTGACCCCGAGGCGCCCCTTCCCAGACCTCTCCAGGGGTGCGTTCTGACCAGAACGTCGAGGCGAATGCCGCGGTGGCGACGAGGGCCTCCCAGGCGGCCGAACAAAAAGAGGAAAGCGGGCAAAGGGTACAGGTATGGGCACCTTTTCTTCCTCTGAGATCTCTGGTTTCTCGGTGTCCCCGCGGCGCCCCTCCAGCAGCCCCTCCAGCACCTCTGGCGTGCACGCGAAGCGCTCCGCGGCCCGCGCCACGCGCCCGGCGGCCTGCGCGGCGGCCGCCGCGGGAGGCAGCGCGGCCTCTCGGCCCGGGCGGCTTAGGCTTGGGTGGGCCCCGAGGGCGACGGGCCCCCCGCCGCCCCCCCTCCTCCTCCCTTCTCCTGCCTTCTCCTTCCTCCTCCTCCTCCTCCTCCTCCTCCTCCTCCTCTCCTCCTCCTCCTCCTCCTCCTCCTCCTCCCTCCTCCTCCTCCCTCCTCCTCCCTCCTCCTCCCTCCTCCTCCTTCCCTCCTCCTCCCCTCATCCTCCCTCCTCGGTGCCTTCTGGTAGAGGCTTCTTAGATGGGGTCGGAGTAGATGGGGTCGGAGTAGATGGGGTCGGAGGATCGCGCCGCATCGCCGATACGTCGGCGATGCATCGGCGATGCATCGGCGATGCACTGGCGATGCATCGTCGACTTCGGCGATGCATCGGCGGCGTCGATGTGGAGCAAATCTGGTTCCGCGTCGAGCCGAATCGCTGATACATCGGTGATGCGGCGCGATCTTCCGACCCACTGCAGAAACGGTGCGCCCTAAGCTTGACTTTCTCCCGTCGCATCTGCGCAACCATGCGCGGAATGTTGTACGCAGATCTATAGAAGTTTCTGCGCACCTTGTCGCAGACTCAGCGGGAAAATACCGAAAAAAGGGGCACACCAATTCCGTACTCGATCCCCTACTCGACCTCCGGGCCATGCGACATAGCCACGACGGGCGTGCTCTCGCTATCGTCGACCTCTGGGGGCCCCTCCCGGGCCTCCGAATCGTCAATCAAACCACTTGAAATGAGAAGCCGGGCCTGGGGAAGGGGGTCGAGACCTCTGGGGGTCGGGACCCCAGGCCCGCGGGGCCTCTCGGGGGGAACAAGAAGAGAAGCGCAGCCGAGAGGACCCCCCAGGAGGCCCCCAGGAGTTGCCAAAACTACCCCCCAAGAGGCGCCGACGAGGCCTCCAGGGCCCTCTGATTCTGGGGAGGCCATCGCTCGGACGTCCATGCTCCGTGCATTGGTAAGTTTTGTGTAGCTCGTTTCGCAAGATGGTCCCAGATGCTCCTCGATGGTCCTCGCCGCGAATACGAGCACACGCCCGAGAGATGCTGAGACAAAAAGAAAACAGAAAAACGAAGAGGCCCCCAAGAGGCCCCAATAGGCTACCCAGGAAGCCCCCAAGAAGCCGCGAAGAGGCTCCCAAGAGGCGTCAAAACTGCCCCCCAGAGGCCATCGAGAGCCCCCCGAAGAGACTCCAGGAAGCATCCAGGAGGACTCCGACCCACAACCCAGACACAGTGACGGGACGGGCCGAAGGCCGCTCGGTCTGCCGCTCCCTGGTGATTCACCACAAGGGCACACGGCGTGCTGACTTTTTGAACGGCTTTGGTGCTTTGCTGGAGAACTCACAAGGAAGTCTCGTCCAAACCCGCTGGCCACCGGGAAGCTCTTCCAGCCCCTGTCGGCAAGGCTTCGTCCGCCCAAAATGGCTCAAGATGGTCCAGGATGGCGTCCCAAACGGCCAAGATGGTCTCCGAGACAGCTAAGTTGGCCCAAGATGGCCTGCAAGACCGTCCCAAGACGCCTCTAAGACGGCCAAGATAGCCCAAGATGTCTCGAGCTGTCCTCCAGACGGCCCAAGAGGCCCCTCAAACGCCCCAATCGGGCCCCCAGAGGGTCTCCAGGAGGCCGAAATCATTGTGTTTCAATGGTTTTAGCGTTTTCGCCTGTTCGGGCTCACGACGCTCCAAGACAGCCCAAGAAGGCCCCAATACAGCCACAAAGGCCCCCAAGACGGCCCGAAGACGGCGCCATAGAACTCCAAGACGGCCCGAAAGCGCCCAAAGAGGGACCCACGACTGCCCAGGGAGGGCCCCAGACTGCCTCTGAAAGAAGGCCAAGAGGCCAAGAAGGCCAAGAGGCCAAGAGGGCTCCAAGAGGACCTCCAGGAGGCCAAAATCTTTGATTGACCTTGCGTTTTCTTTAATGATATCAACGTGGTCGCTTTCTTTGCAAGGTTCCGGCACTCCAAGACGGGCCGATCAGCTCACAAGATCGCCCCAAGACGGCCCCCATAAGGTTGCCACACGGCACAAGAGGGTCCCAGGACAGCCCAAGATGGTGAGCGTTTTTTGTATTCGGCGTTTCGACATTGGGCAGAACCGGGGGGGGAGGGGGGGGGTCTGACTCCAGACCTCTGCGTGACGCGGCTGTTTGTAACCGTGCGTCATGTGGAAGAGACTCCACCTGCCTGAAACAGGCGCCCCAAAAAGCCAAAATCGACACCATGGAGGGGGGGAGGGGGGGTGCGAGGGCCCGCGCCGGTTGGCCGTACGTATTGCAATGATGATTTTAGCGTTCGCCGTTTCGTGCTTGCGATGCTCCAAGACGGGCCCATAAGCCTCCAAGTTCGCCCCAAGAGGCCCGCAAGACGGCACACCCAAGAAGTCTCCAAGAGGCCCCTGAGAGCTCCCCAAAGGGGTTCCATGGAGCACACAGGAGGCCTCAAGAGGGCCTCAAAGGGTCTCCCCTCGTCTTCCTCATCATTATCCTCCCTCCTCTTTTCTCTTCCTCTCCCCAGAGTTCCCCCAAGGGGGTCCACAACGGCTGGGGGAACACATAGTCCAATAGATTGACCAGACTTCGGCCCAACGTTTGGCCGCATTTGCGTTTCCAAAAGGTTGGGGCCGCGGTGATTCGCCGTAGGCGTCGTAGATAAATAACAGAACAGCCACCCTCATGATAAGCTCCCCGAAAAGCGGAGCCGTTTAGCAAACGAACCCAAGGAAAGACTTGAACAATGCAGGCCCGGTTTGGAGGCGTTTTGCGACTGCCAAGCATGGCAGCCTTCTGCCACGCAGCCTTGACCCTATCAGAGGTGAGACTGTGCACGAGGATCTGCCCAAATGTGTCCCAGAACTGTCGCCCGAATTTTCAGAACACGCCAGAATGAGAATGCGACCAAAATCCTCACGTAAAAATCAACACGATGTTCAGTTGCGGTCACAATTTCGGTCACACCACGTTTCCGATCACACTTTCGAGTTGGTTTTCCGTCGCAATACCATATGATCAGAAATTCGATGTAGAATATTGGGTAATGATGAAAACCATGGAACCATTGGAATTTGGGAACGTCTCCTCTGGACCTCTTACTCTTCTGAAGCTCCTGCGCATGCCGCATGGAGCGGACTGCTTCCAGGCTGTCCAAAGACATCTTCGAGACGACCCCCGAAAGAACTATCGCCCAGGTCATGGCCCACCAGGGACCCAAGGACCTGGTCTCAGGATGCCCTGAAGGATGGGACCCTGGGGAAGCAAAAGATACCGATGCCGCTGCTCACTGGACCTCTCCCAGGGTTCATTCTGATCAGAACTCCGAGGCGAACCCATCCGTGGTGGCGAGGGACCAGCAGCAACATCGGTACCTGCTCCTCCTCTGGCCTTCCCCCAAGACCAGCTATTCGTCCTGCGCCATCTTTCAACAGTCCAGGGGCCTGGGAACTGTCCTTCAAGCGCGAAAACGGCGGACAGAAACTCGAGACCCAGACCTCCGCAGATCTGATATGTAGATGTCTCCTAACTGGGGTCGGAATAGATGGGGTCGGAGGATCCCGATACATCGCCGATGCACAGGCGATGCATCGGCGATGCACCGGCGATGCACCGTCGACGTCGGCGATGCATCGGCGACGTCGACTTGAAGTAAATCGGGCTCCACGTCGAGCAGCATCGGCGATGCAGCGCAATCCTCCGACCTCATATTCTCCGACCTCATCCAGGAGGCCTAGAATATTTTCGATGCGCTGCCCATGAACCAAGGTCTCGCCCCGGACCCATTTTTTCATCGTCCCGGGGCCCAAGAACGGCCCCCAGAGGGCGACATTGAGGGAAAACGCCCAGACTGAAACAATTATCCCAGTGCGACCCTACCTAGGAGTTGGAACCCCTAGGAAAGCAGCATTAGTAGTAACAGTAACGCTAAGCTAAAGCTAAGCTAAAGCTAAGCTAAAGCTAAGCTAAAGCTAAGCTAAGCTAAAGCTAAGCTAAAGCTAAGCTAAAGCTAAAGCTAAGCTAGCTAAGCTAAAGCTAAGCTAAAGCTAAGCTAAAGCTAAGCTAAAGCTAAGCTAAAGCTAAGCTAAAGCTAAGCTAAAGCTAAGCTAAAGCTAAGCTAAAGCTAAGCTAAAGCTAAGCTAAGCTAAGCTAAAGCTAAGCTAAAGCTAAGCTAAAGCTAAGCTAAAGCTAAGCTAAAGCTAAGCTAAAGCTAAGCTAAAGCTAAGCTAAGCTAAGCTAAAGCTAAGCTAAAGCTAAGCTAAAGCTAAGCTAAAGCTAAGCTAAAGCTAAGCTAAAGCTAAGCTAAAGCTAAGCTAAAGCTAAGCTAAAGCTAAGCTAAAGCTAAAGCTAAGCTAAAGCTAAGCTAAGCTAAGCTAAAGCTAAGCTAAAGCTAAGCTAAAGCTAAGCTAAAGCTAAGCTAAGCTAAGCTAAGCTAAGCTAAGCTAAGCTAAAGCTAAGCTAAAGCTAAGCTAAACGCTAAGCGAAAAGCTAAGCGAAACGCTAAGCTAAAGCTAAGCTACAGCTAAGCTAAAGCTAAGCTAAAGCTAAAGCTAAAGCTAAAGCTCCCAGGGGACTGGGGGGAACCGCGGGGCGGGGACTGGGGGAACCGCCCGGGGCGCTTTCCACTGCCCGGCCCCTTTAAGCTAAGAGAGTAAGAACCCTTCTAGGCAGAGCCTAGGTAGGGAAAAACATACCTTCGGCGATATGGAAGGCCCTCAGGACCTTCTGCGGCAACTCATGGAAGCCTCCGATACCATCTTGGGGGCTCTTGCGAATCGACGCTGACCGACGCTAATCGACGCTAAATCGGTGCTGCTCGACGCTAAATCGGCGCTTTCCCATCGACAGCCAGACGCCAGCAGCCCAAAGACGGAATTGCGAGGACATACGAGGATCCGCCGGGCAAGACCCCTCTGCTTTACACGCTGCGCGGCCGCGTCGGGGGGCAGCAGCAGCGCGGCGTCTGCCGGCAGCTGCCGCTGCACGCGCCCCAGCGCGTCCTCCGGGTCCTCGTCGGCCGCCTCGGGAGGAGGAGAAGGAGGAGGAGGAGGAGTAGGAGGAGATGGAGCAGGAGGAGGAGGAGGAGGAGGAGGAGGAGGAGGAGGAGGAGGAGCACGACACGCCGCTCGGGCGGCCAGGGAGCTCGGTGGCGCCCCCGCTGCCCGACCCGCGGGACGCCGGAGAGCCCGCGCGCCGAGCTCCCTCGCCGCGCTCCTTTTCGGCGACCTGCCCGACCAAACCGAGCCGGGCCTCCGACGCCGTGAGTGCTTCATCGCGTGGATCTCCAGGACGAAGGATTGCAAAAAAACCCAGGATTGCAAAAACGAAGGATTGCAAAAAAACCCAGGGTTTTTTTGCAATCCTTCGTTCAACCCAGGGTTTTTTTGCAATCCTTCGGGGTTTTTTGGGTTTTTTTTGCAATCCTTCGACCCCTTCCGCGGGGCCAACTCCTCATCCCGGCCCCGTGGCCCGCGGAGGGCCCCCAGAGCCGGGAGAGAACCGGAAGACAGCCTCCCGTGGTCGCGGCGCGAGGGGGTCTGTGGACGTGCTGTGCACGGAGGAGCCGGAAGGCACAGGTACCGCCATTCCTCAGGCCTCGCCCAGGGCACATTCCGACCAGCATCTCGAGGAGTATCCAGCCGTGGCGATGAAGGCCTCCCTGCACGGTTTCCCCCAGGGCCGTAGGCGACCCGCGGAGGAAGAGGGGGAGAAAGTGGTGGTGGAGGAGGGGGAGGGGTAGGGGAGGAGGAGGAGGAGGAGGAGGAGGAAGAGGAGGAGGAGGAGGGAGACGGAGGAGAGGAGGAGGAGGAGGAGGAGGAGGAGGAGGAGGAGGAGGGGAGGAGGAGGAGGAGGAGGAGGACGGGTCGCCTAGGCCCTTCGGAGAAACCCTCCAGGCCTTCAAAGACGCCCGAAAAGGCAAAAACGAAGGAAGGGCAGGATCAGACAGCATCAAATCAGAAAATCGGATCGGATCCTCCTCCTCCTTCTCCTCCTCCTCCTCCGAACGAACGAACCAAGGAGGGAATGGCAGGATCAGACAACATTGAATCGGGAAATCGGATCGGATCCGAACGTGCTGCAGATCGAGCCGCATCAGCAGTGGATCGGGATCGAATCGGATCGCCTGCTCCAGAATACACGACAACACCATGCATCGGACCGCCAATTTGTCGGAATCGAATAGGAACGGATCGGCCAGCAACGATATCGAACCTCGGACCAATCAATCAGATCGGAACGGCCCATGGGACAGAAAGTAGCAGTTTCGGAATTGATTCCTCTCTAGCGACGTGGAAATTGTTTTCTTCTACTATTTCCACGTAGCGGTCATTACCCAGGGGGGGGAAGGGGGGCCGGATAGCGGCAACGATTGGACGGGTTAGGGCACCTGCGCAAAGCCTGCGAACACAAGCAGGGCGCCTCCGCACCGGCAGTGCCACCCCCAAAACGCACAGTCGTCACCGTTACCCAGGGGGGGGGACGACAAGTACGCGCCAGAGGATAAGAACAAACTCGTAGTGCACACGTCGAGTAAGACGAAACCGAGGCGAGGATAAACTCGGGGGGTGAAGAAACCGAGAATATCCGAGATCCGGCGGCTTTGGAGGACGTCTCGGGCGCCTCGGCTCGGCATTCTCAGAGCGTTATCTTTTACCCTGGGTTTCAACATTTGGCCGAAGGGTGGGGGAAAGGTGCGGGTCTGCGTCTGGGCTGGTGCCTAGTCGATCTGCTTGTACCAGTGGCGCAAGCAGACTGGAAGGGGGTCCTGACCACTCGCCAGGAAGCAGCCGCCAAAAGCAGCAAAATTCTGATTCCTACTAGAAGGAAAAAAAAAAAAACGCCAAAAACATAAACTTTAAGAGCTCCGCGCGGGTTTCTTGGATCTGCGCTGGGCGCCCCCTCCCTGGCGAGCGCGCCAGGGAGGCGCCGCGTGTCCAGAAATCGGCGCAGAACCAAGACATCCTCGCGGAGCGCAGAAAGTTTATGCTTATGGCGTTGTTTATTCTTCGAAAGTGAACAAACGGCGACTACAGTGGAGGCCAGTCCACAAGAAACCTTCCACAAGAAACCCAACCCTGAGACCCCAGGACGTCCATCGACTCTTGGCGTGGGAGCGTCACGCTTTCCATCGCAAAACCATCGACACCCAGGGAAACCCAGGGCACCATGGAGGCGAGCAGGGTGCCGCTCGGCACGGGTCTCCACTATACCCTCCTCCGGGCCCCCGTCCCGTCGAGCCCCCCTCCGACGCCTCCAGCGCAGCAGGCTGCAGCCGCGGCTCCAGCGCCAGGGCGCAGACGCCAAGCGCCAGCGGCAGCAGCGCCGCCAGCCCGTCGCGCACGATCAGGCCCCAGGCCACGACGGCCACCTCCGCCGGCAGCCCCGTGGTGAACAGCGTGCCGAACCATTTGAAGCCCAGCACCTGTGGAGTCGAAGCTGGCAGCAAGGACGCGCGAGAGGGATGCAAGCCCCTCGGACGCCCATGTCGAAGCTTTTCGAGCGAGGCTGGCCCTCGGGAGAGGCCGAGGCTGGGCCGAGGAGGCAAGTATGCAAGGGCAACCTTGGGAAGATTGCCGGTCCATACCATCGGTTTCGACTGTAGAGGTGAGGAACAGAAACTGCATCAACTGAACCGTTCGGAGCTCCGGGCGACTTGTTCGGATCGCCGCTGGACCCCCCCCCCCAAGCGGCGCCTGGGGGGGGAGGGTCCAGCGCCGATCCAAGAAATCCGCGCGGAGCTCCGACAACCGATGTTTATACAGTCGAACTCAGGCCAGAAGAACATCCTCCAATGATATGAGACCCTCCGCCATCCAGAACACACATAACATCCAAGGGCACTCTCCCCAGGATGCACGAGAGCACCCGACAAGCACGAAGAGCACTAGGGCACCCTCCCCAAACTGACCTCGAGCTTATACCTCGGTCCGACTGTATGCTCCAGATCTCGTAATAAAAGGGAGGGGGTCTGGACCCTCCAAGACAAGCCATTTCAGACCTCCCCCGTGGGAGAACCCTCCAAAACATCGTCCCCAGACCCCCCAGGCCCTCCAAGATAGCCTGGAAAAGACCCCCCCCCCGAAATGAGACCCCCCTCCCTTTATTACGAATTCTGGAGTACCACTTCTGCTCCTTGAGAGCGCCGTGCACAGCTGCTCCCCGAGCGCTCCGTGCAGCCGGTCGGCGGTCCAAGGCGGGGGCCAGGACCTGCCATCGCTCGGACGCCCCATTCCCCGTGCATGCTTGTCGTGCGTGTTCTTGTTATGCCTTTCTCCAAGAGGATCCAGGATGCTCCCAGATGGCCCTCGCCGAGAAAACTTGCGGAGTCCAAACCCAGACAGCGGAGAGCCAGAAGAACGAAGAAACGCTTCCCAAAGGCCTCTGGAAGGAGCTTTGGAGGCTCTGGGAAGGAACTCCGGAAAGAGCTTCTGGAGGGCTTGACGGCACACGTATTGGAAAACGGTCACAACAGGCCAGTCGAGACCAACTGCAACTTCAGACAAGTTGTGCCGGGGATTCTGGAGCGAAGCCGGAACGAGCTCCAGGGCTACCCTGCGGGGCCGGCTTCGGATCTGAAGCCCTCTGAGCTCTCTACGAGCTGGCGGGGGAAAAAACGCGCAGGTCCGAACGATGCCAAGACGGGAGAAAAGGGGAGGGGGGACCCAGGGGCGAGTGGTCTTACTCGGTGGAGGTTCAGCAGTCGACCCCTCCCCCATCTTCAGGGCCCCGCCCCACGGGGCCCCATCTTTGAACCGCCGAGCTGCGGCATCCTGCTCTCGAGCAGCCGCGCGAGGCAGAAGCAGTACAGCCTCAGGACCGGCGTGCGGTCCAGGAACAGTCCCCTGGCGCCGTACCTCGTAACAGCGCAAGACAACGGCAGCTCAGCATCTGTCCCAAGAGCCATCCTGGGGCCCAAACGCACCAGTCTCCCGAGCGGCGTCCAGCCGTGGCGACGAGGGGGCTACCCGAAGGCCAACCACCGCTGCTGGAGGAGCAACACGTGACATGAGCATAAACTGTTGGAGGTCCGCGCGGATCTCTTGGGACGGCGCCGGGGCCCCCCTCCCTGGCGCGTGGAACGCGGCCAGGGCGGCGCCAGATGCGCCGCCAGGACGCTCCAACGCCGATACGAGAAATCCGCGCAGAGTTCCGAGCATGTGTGCTTACCCAAAACTCTGTCCTTCTATCGCCTCGACTCGCCCTTCCGCGGATACCGCTGCAGGAGGCACGCGACCAGCAGGAAGACGCCGGCCTCGCCCGACAGGCCCGTGGGGCACTCGGCGGCCCCGCCAGCACCGGGCCGAGGCGTCTCCGCCGCCCGAGCGCACCCCGCGCCACTGAAGGGGCCGCCCGATACGCGGAAGAGGAACGCCACGATGAAGTTCAGGCCCTGGCAGTAGGCCACCTCTCAGAGCCCCGAATCAGCAGGGCTGGGGGTGGTCCGGGGTAGCTCCCGAGTCGTGCCCTGGGGGCCCCGAAATAGTAGTGCCCGGGACTGGACTTCCCCTGGAAAACTCGGGCGTCCAGACTCCCGAATCATCGGGGGGGGGGGTCCAATTAACTCCTCCTGGTTCGTTTTGTCGGGGACCCACACCGGAGTTACCCCAGACCGGAGCTCTTGCGGATAAGTCGGGCGTCCAAACCTCTGCTCTGCGCAGAAGAAGAGCAATCGCCATGAGCATACTCGGCGGCGAGCGAAGGGGAGAAGTGAGAAGGGGCGGGCCTTCCCAGAGGGCTCAGAGGTCCCCAGGGCCTTATGAGAACTTTTCTGAGCCTTCCCAGAAATCACAAACAACTTCTCTGAAGGCGCGAGGGCTTCTGAGAAGTCCCGCCGCCTGCAGAGAAGGCTTTCTCTTATTCACTTCCCCCCCTCGCTCACCGCCGACGCTCCGTCGTCGTGCCACCCTACGCATCGCGGAGTAAGGAACGAAGGAGCTATTCTGTCGACGGCGAGCTGGCGAGCTTCAGCTTCGCACGGGTTCCCCGACATCGATCTCAGGGACGGTCCGCACAATTGACAAAGCCCCTCCTGGAGTCAGAAGTGGTCCTTACACACTGGTCGGAAGAAGTAGAAAGGCGGATTAAGTAGACTGGGTTCAGGCCCTCCCAGAGAATAACAAAACACACACCAAAAGCATATCGATTCTTGAAGTAGGAAGGCCCTTGAAGTATATTGGGACCCGGGAATCCAGACATTCCTACTGTCAACGACTGGCGTGTACTCCAGGGTCTTGACTGCAAGCTTGCGGATGCCCGAGCGGACTTCGGCGCTGGAGTCCCCCGGCGGCGCGCCCGGCGACGCCCCGGGGGCGCTCCCCCCGCGCCAGGTATAGAGGAGGGCCCGAACGACCGACGGCGTGCTTGGTTTGCACGCGCGGCCCCCGAAAGGTCCCGACCCCCTCTTCTGGGCTCTGCTTCTTCGCCCATGATGGACCTCTTTTTCACCACCACCGTCACCACCACCACCACCACCACCACCACCATACGTTGGAGGGGGAGGGGGTCCTCCTCCTCCTCCTCCTCCTCTTCCTCCTCCTCCTCCTCCTCCTCCTCCTCCACCTCCTTCCTCCCTCTAACTTATCCCGGTGGTGGAAAACAGGCCTATCAGCCCAAGCTCCGTTTCTGAGGCCCCGTGGCCCACTCGCGGCCCCGCGAGGCCGAGTTCGTGGAGCCCCGCCCCGGGGGGAAACAAGAAACAGCACTCTGCCGTCGGGCCGATCCAGGACGAAGGCCGCGCTAACGGCGATGTTGGTGAACATCGATGTTGGGAATCCGACTTTTGTGACGCCGAGCTCGCGCAGAACAAATTGTAGGAAACCACGAACCACACTTTCCTACATTTCTGATGTGCAAATGTATCGAACGAAAACGACGCAGCGAATTGTAGGAACGCACGAACTACGCTGTCATGCAATTGCTTTGGCCACGAGGCACTCCCACCTACAATGCCGAAACCCACATCGCCGTTACCTACATCGCCGTCAGCGCGTCTACGGCAGGAGCCCAGCGCGGGCCCCCGAGCATTTGTACTATGCTCACGTCGCCTCGGATTCCCAGTTCGGTGGCTCGCCCTCTTCCTGTGGCCATTCCTGGCCCAACTCTCCTGATTCTCACGATCTCTCTGATATCCGCACCCTTCCTACCCAGAGATCCGAGGTCGTGATGCTTGTCAATGCGCGGTCCCCGGAAGTCTATAGACCCATTCCCCAGGACCAGTTTTTCATCCTGAGTCGTTTTTTGCCGGTCCCGAGGCCCGGCGAGGGACCCTAGGAGCCGAAATCTGCGAAAAGCCTCCGTCTTGATTTGTTCGATGCGCTGGATCTTCGGGTCCTATCCCCCGAGCCTCCTGGTCCCACAGCGCCAGAGCGCGCAGCACGCGCCCCAGCCCCTCCGCCTCCACCGGCCCGATCGGGGCCCTCCCCGCCCAGTCCGTGCGCGGCAGGTCGGCCAGGATGGCTGCCTCCACGGCCGCCGGCAGCGCGCCGGGCCGCGCCGCCGCTCGCGCCAGCTCCTCACGGGGCTCCAGAGTTAGGTCGGGCGTGTCCTCCTACAGGCGGATTTTGGACGAAACATTCAAGATATATCAAAACAGTACACCACAAATAATCAAAACATGCTAGGAAATCGTCGCCAAATTAGTTTTAGAGCATTCTTGAGTATTCCTCCTGTAGAGGGACACGCCCAACTTACCTCCAGTGACAAGGGCCAGTGCAGACGGGGGTCAGCCAGGGCGCCGGATCTGGCAGGAGCCTGCAGAGCCAGGGGTGCGCTGACCAGGGCTTGCGTGCAGGATCCTGCAAGAACCCGCAAGACCTTGCAGCATCCTGCCCGATCCTCGTACCGGCGAGCTCCGGCCTCCGCGCCGCCGCACAGCGCGCCGCTGCGCGCGAGCCACGCCGCCAGGCTGCCAGCCTCCGCAGGTTCATGGACGTCCTCGCCGTCCACGTCCACGGCCGCGAAGACCTCCTCGACCTCCTCCGTCCCGGCGGGCAGCGGGCCGTCGCACCAGGCGACCAGGATCGACGACAGGTCCACCAGCGCCGCCTCTGAGCATCGTTGGACCGATCCCTATGCCCACTGGCGTGACCTGGGCCCCACTGGCGGACTTACCCCCCTGATCGGGATATAGGCCGTAGACTCGAGGAACGAATCATGGCATAAACAGAAACGTTCGAAGGTACGCGCTGATTTCTTGGATCGGAGCTGGACCCCTTACCCTGGCGCGCAAAGCGCGCCAGTGGCTGCGCTGGAGGCGCCGCCAGTCGAACCGAGGAATCCGCGCGGACATCAGCAACCTTCTATGATTATGCCATCATCTGTTCTCCGAGAGGTGCCATGGCCCAGTGCGGCGCGCAGAGGGGGGTAGGGGGAGGGGGGAAGGCTTCGTAGAAGGAGGCTGCTTGTCAGAAAGCATCGGCCCTGCATCTACAGACGAGGCCCGCGCCATCTAAGAGCCAGGGGTGCTTCTAAGAAGACTTCCCCCTAACCGAGAGGGTCTTCAGACCCCCCCCCCACACTGGAAACTGATTATCATTTCGACGCCCTTATCGACGGACTGGCGCCCCACCAATGGCGGCCCCCGCCGCGAAACCGATCACGGCTACCCCTGCCCCCCTCTGCGCGTGGCCGGCCATGGCCCAATGGGGGGTGGCGACAGGTTGAACGATACCGAGCCTCCGGCCCGCACCCGGGGCCGCCGCCGCAGCAACCCCACGGCGCGCCGTCTTTAGGGGAGCAAATAGTGGCATAAATACTCTGAAGTCCGCTCGGAATCCTCGGATCGGCGCTAGGGGGCCCCCGGCGGCGCCTCCGGTGCCGCCCCTGGCGCGCTCCGCGCGCCAGGGAGGGGGCCCCAGCGCCGATCCGAGAAATCTGCGCGGACCTCAGAAGATTTTTATGTTTATGCCACTTTTTGCTCCCCTGGTCTTGGTCCGAGCCCGCGTCACTGCTGGGGGCCCCGCGAGGTGCGGCGCCCCGCGAGGTGCGGCGCCCGCTCCGTGGGCTCTGCGGCGGGGCGCGGCCCGCGCTGCCGAGCAGCCTGGGCTTCCAGCCGCCGCGCCGCCCTGCCGCCGGCGGCGCCGCCGCCCCGTCGTCGGAGCTACTTGTAAGACGAAGCCAGGACGAGGATAAAATCGTGCGACGATACAGTGGGGGCCCGACCACATGAAGCCTTCCACAAGAAACCCAACCCTGAGACCCCAAGGCGTCCATTGATTTTCGGTATGCGAACGTCGCGCTTCCCATGGCAAAACCATCGAAAGCCAAGAAACCCAGGTCACCCTGGAGGCAAGAAGGGTGTTTCTTGGCATGGGCCTCCACTGTAAATCGAGAATCTCTGAGATCTGGCGGCTCTGGATAGGCTGCAGCGGCCGCCGCGGCCTTCTCTCAGAGCGCTCCGGAGCGCTCTGAGGGCGGCTTTCTCCTTGTCGTGGCCCCGCCTGCTGCTGGCCCTGCTGGAGGCGGCGCTGCTGCTGCTGCTGGCGCTGGCGCTGCCGCTGGCGCTGCCGCTGGCGCCGCCGGCGCTCCTGCCGCGGTGCGGCCCCAGCGCCCGCAGCGAGGCGAGCAGCCCCCCGCGCGGCGCCATGGCGCCCGCCCTGCGCCGCGCCTCACCGCCCCCGGCGCCGGAGGTGCTGCGCCCCAGGCCGGGCGAGGCGGCCCTGGGCTGGCCGAGGCCCGGATTGGGGTCTGGCGCCCTGCCCTGTCCTCCTCCGCGCCCTCGGCATCGACCCTTCCCGCCTCGTCCATGTTTGTTTGTCCCTCTCTCCCTCTCTCTATTCTATCTCTCTCACTTTCTCTACAGGGAGAGAGATCTCTCTCCCTCTAGAGAGAAAGAGAGAAAGAGAGAGAGAGAGAGTGAGAGGGAGGGAAAGCATAAGAAAGGCAGGAGAGAAAAAAGAAAGCGAGAGGCAGAAGAGGAGAGACGGTCTGCATCTCCTCCCCTTCCCTCCTCCAGTGCGAGGGCGCAGAACCATCAAATATGTAGCTTGAGCTGTGGTATCTGCAACGAGGTGGGATTTTCAGGCGTATCCCTCTGCACGGCTCGAGCTCAAGCATGTTACTTGTTGTTGTTTCCTTCACTTTGCCTTCGTTCTGCCTTTGCCGCGAAACGAAAAGAAGACGAAACCTGTTCACCAAATCGCCGAATCAACGTTTAGCTCGAGCCCTGCCCCTCTGGATGGAGCCATGACGTTGAGCACGCCAGTCCTAAAGCCTCGCGGGAGGTTGCCCCACCCGGCCGTGCGCGGCGGCGTTCCGCTCCGGCGGACTCCGCTGTGACATCTACTCGGTCGGAGTCAAACATCCCGCGGTAGATTTTGAACTCCTTTTGTTCGCCCAAGAGGCTCCGAAGAGGCCCCTATAGAGGCTCCCAAGAGGCCCCCAAAACTGCCCCCAGAGGCCTGCGAGCGCGCTCCGCAGAGGCCCCACGAAGCATCACTGAGGACGCTGTCCCATGTCAGCGCCGTCGTCGCCGCCGACGCCGCCGTCGTGGTCGTCGTACCCCTGCAGGGTCGGCGGCACCGCCCGTAAGGCCTTCACAGCATCCTGCGGCACATTTTGAGCCACTTTTCGCGCGCTTTATTTGGCTCAGTGGTCCTGTCCTGTGCCCAGGGAGCAGTCTTCACATCATCTCTGCTTTCCCTCCCCTGCCTGATCGCTGTGACGCAGGTGCGTCACTCTTGGAGGGGTGGAGATCTAGCCTGCAACGTTGAAGTGGCAACATCATCACAAGAAAAAAGAGAAACGTTCTCTCTCGCTTCCTTTCCTCTCCGGGGGATTTGCTGACCGGGGTCAACCCAGACCCGGGTCAGAAAACTTTGCAGAATCCTGCAGAATCCTGCACCCAAACCCGGGTCAATGCGAAGGATCCTGCAAGACCCTGCAGGATCCTGCACCCAAACCAGGGTCAATGTGACCCTTGCCCCCAAGATCGCCCACGACGAGGTCTCCAAAATGGCTCCATGACAGCCCCAAAAGCCCCCAAGACGGCCCCAAGAGGGCCCCAAGAGGGCCCAAGAGGCGTCCAAGGCGCTCAAGATAGCCTCGAAGACGGCCCTGAAATGCCCAAAGAGGGCCCCAAGACGACACAGACAGGCCCCCATGACGGCTTCCGACGGCGTCAGACAAGCCAGGAACGCCCTAAGACGCCAAAGGGACCACCAAGAAGCCTCCAAAGGCCCCCAGCATGCCCAAGGAGGCCCCAAAGAGGCCTCCAAGTGGCACACAGCAAGCCCCCAGGAGGCCCCAAGATTGCCCCAAGAAACGCCCAAGAGGCCTACTCCTCCCCCTCCTTTTTCCTGATCCTCCCCCTCCTCCACTTCTTGCTCCCCCACGCGTTCCCCGAAGTCTTTCTAAACCGACTCGGGGAACAACTGGCCCGATAGCTTGGCCGAGCTCTGACCCAACTCTCGGCCACATAGGCGTTTTCCGCCGCCCCCTGTTGATTCATACAGGGGTGCCTGGCGTGCTGAATCCTGTCGCTTTTGGGTTTGGTTCTCTTTTTCCAACAGGCCAAGGAGGCCTCCTCCTCCCTTTTCCTTTTTCCTCCCTCTCCTATCTTTCTTCCTCCCACACCGTGTTCCCCGAACGCTTTCCAAACCGATTCGGAGAACACATGGCCCGATGGCTTGGCTGGCCTCTGGCCAGAACGTTCGGCCACAGAGGCGTTTCCAAAAACGCAGGGGGCGACAGTGATTCGCCGTGGGCGTCTTCGATATATTGGTAGAAACTCGGAGGATGAATAATGAAGGTTCCTGGGGGTCGACGGTCGTCTCGCCGACGGTCCAGCTTCACCTTCAACTGCCTGATTTTTCTGGGTCCTTCGATGTTTGGTTTTTGTCCTGATAGATGGAACACGACATTGGGAAACGTGCATCGAACGCGTCCGTATTCGCTCGCGTGCGTGTCCACTTGCAACTGAAAATGCGCGCCCACTGCAAGTCACAGATGACGTCCCCCAAGCCTCCTTCTGAGTCGAGAAGTGTGGTCCATGAGGTACCTCCACTCTGAGGCTGAGCGCACAGAGACACACGGTCTGACGGGCCAAGGGGTGGAAACCGCAAGGAGGAGGAGTCGGGGATCAAGTGGGGCGGGAAGGTTGGGGATGAGGCCAAACGCGGGCCACAGCAATCAAAACCGCAAATCCCCGATGCAGCGCCGCCGCCGCACAGCAGCGGCAAGAGGCGCGCGCGCCCGGCCGCCTCTGGGCTCTCGTAGGGGTACCGGCAGGAGAAAGTAAACCTGCGGGGGGGATCGGCGGTGTGTGTGTGTGTGCCCGTGTATATGTATCTGTGTGTGTGTGTGTGCGATTGTCCGCGCGCGCACCTGTGAGTGTGTGTGTGTGGTGCGTGTATGGGTGTGTGTGTGTGCGGTGTGTGTGTGTGTGAGTGCGTGCGTGCGTGCGTGCGTGCGTGCGTGCGTGGGTATGTGTGTGCGTGTGTGCGTGTGTGCGCGTGTGTGTGTGTGTGCGTGTGTGTGTGCGTGTGTGCGCGTGCGCGCGTTTGCGCGCTTGTGCGCGCGTGTGCGCGTGTGTGCGCGCGTGTGTGCTCGCGCGTGCGCATGTGCGTGCGCGTGTTTGCGCGCGAGTGCGCGCATGTGCACGCGCGTGCGTTCGTGCGCGCGCGTGCGCGAGCGTGTGTGGGCGTGTGCGGGCGTGTGCGGGTGTGTGCGGGGGTGTGTGGGGGCGTGTGGGGGCGTGCGGTGGTCTGCGGGAATGTGCCGGGGTGTGCGGGGGTATGCGCGGTTGCGCGGGGGTGTGCGGGGGTGTGCAAGCGTGTGCGGGGGAGTGCGGGGGCGTGCGTGTGTGTGCGTGTGTGTGCGTGTGTGTGCGCGTGTGTGCTTGTGTGTGCGTGTGTGTCTGTGTGTGTCTGCGTGTGTGCGCGTGCGTGCGCGTGCTCGTGTGCGTGTGCGTGCGCGCGTTTGCGTGTGCGTGTGCGCGTGCGTGTGTGTGCGCGTGTGTGTGTGTGTGTGTGTGAATGCGTGTGTGTGTGTGTGTTCGTGTGTGTGTGTGTGTGCGTGCGGGTGCGCGTGCGTGTGCGCGTGCGTGCGTGCGTGTGCGTGTGCGTGTGTGCGTGTGTGCGTGTCCGTGTGTGTGTGTGTTGTGGGGGGGGGAGGGGTGCGCGTGGTGCGTGCGCGCGTGTTCGCGCGCGTGCGCGTGCGCGCGCGTATGCGCGTGCGCGTGCGTGTGCGCGCGCGCGCGTGCGTGCGCGTGTGCGCGCGCGCTTGCGTGTGAATGTGCGTGGGTGTGTGTGGGTGTAGGTATGTGGTCGTGTGGGCGTGTAGGTGTGCGGGCCTGTGGGTGCATGGGTGTGTGGGTGTGTGTCGGTGTGGATACGGGTGTGTGTGTGGGTGTGTGCGTGTGTGCGTGCGTGGGCGCGTGGGTGCGTGCGCGTGGGGGCGTGGGTGCGCGGGCGCGCGCGCGCGTGCGTCCGTGCGCGCGCGCCCCGGCGTCGCTCGGACGCGCGCGCGACGCGACGTGCAAAAAGTGCGCGTGTGCGCGTGCGCGCGGCGTTTCGAAAAAGAACGCTCGGCGCCACCTCTGCAATGCTGCAACGTTACAAATGTTCGTGTGCGCGTGTGCGTGCGCGCGCGTGTGCGCATGCGCGTGCGTGCTCGCGCGCGCGAGTGCGTGCGAGCGTGAACGCGTGCGCTTGCGCGTGAGTGCGTGCGCGTGCGCGCGCGCGTGTGCGTGCGCGCGCATGCGCGAGTGCGTGTGTGCGCATGCGCGCGCGTGCGCGTGCGCGCGCGCGTGTTCGCGCGCGCGTTCGCGCGCGCGTGCGCGCGCGCGTGCGCGCGTGCGAGCGCGCGTGGGCGCGGGCGCGGGCGCGGGGCGCGCGCGCGCGCACCCGCGCGCCGGCGGGCCAGCGGGCCAGCGGGCGGGCGGGCGGGCGAGCGGGCGGGCTGGCGGGCGGGCGCGTGTATGCGTGGGTGTGTGCGTGCGTGCGTGCTTGCGCACGTGTGTGCGTGTGTGCGTGCGCGCGTGCATGTGTTTGCGCGCGTATGTGCGCGTGTGTGCGTGTTAGCTTGCGTGTGCGTGTGTGTGTGTGTGTATGTGTGTGTGTGTGCGTGCCTGTGTGCGCGTGTGTGTGTGTGCATGTGCGTGTGTGCCTGCGTGCGCGTGCGCGTGATTACGTTTGTGCTTGTGTGCGTGCGTGCGTGAGTGCGCGCGTGCGTGCGTGTGTGCGTGTGTGCGCGTGTGCGTGTGTACGTGTGTGCGCGCGTGCGTGTGTGTTGTGTGTTGTGCGTTGCGTGATGTGTGTTGTGAGTTATGTGCATTGTGTGCTGTGTTGGGTGTTGTGTGCTGCGCGTCGTGTATTCTGTGTTTCGTGAGCGCGTGCGCGCGCGTGCGCGTGAGCGCGCGTGTGTGTGTGTGTGTGTGTGTGTGTGCGTGCGTGTGTGCGCGTGTGTGTGTGTGCGTGTGCGCGTGTGCTCCTGTCCAAAGCGTTCCTTTTCCTGTGCAAGCTCCTCAGCACCGCCTGCACTCCGCGCCCTTCGGCCGCCTGAGGCCCCGCCCGCCTGCGTTCTGTCTCCCCAATTCGTGTTTTGCGCGGCCCGCCTAGCTCTTAACCGGAAGAGGCTCGCTCTCGACCCGCAGACCAAAAAAGTGTGTGTGCGCGTGCGTGCGCGTGCGCGCGCGTGCGCGTGCGCGTGCGCGTGCGCGCGCGAGTTACATAGCAGCGCGCGCGCAGCCGCACTGCCCCCGGGACAGCTACTGAGGCCGCCAAGCCACCGAGTCATGCACCAGATAGGCCGCCCACCAGCACCACGAGCACGTCGCATGCGAAGGCGGCGACGGCGAAGGCGGCGAACGGGCGCCGCGCCCCGCGGCGCCGCGCCGCCTGCTCCCTAGGAGCGCTCGCTTTGCCGACGCCTCACGCCGACGTGGCGGTGGCCCAACGAGCCCGCCCAGCGCAGCGCCAGGGCCCCGCGCTGCACCGCCTCCAGCATGGGCCGCACCTCCGCAGAGCACCACGGCGACGCACCGACCTGCTCGAGCATGCTCGGCGCGAGCGCCTGGACATCGTCGATCGTCGCCGCCGAGCCGCCGGCTCGCCCAGCTACAGTCGCCGAAGGCGCCGCCGCCAGCTCCCCCGACGCCGACGCTGAAGCGGCCGCAGGGTCCCCGCCCACGCAAGGCTGCCGCCGCCCCCGCCTCCTCCGCCGCAGGCGGGAAGTGAGGCCGTCCGCCCTGTGATGTGGAAGATAATCGCTGGATATCTGTTGCTCGCGCGGCGAGGGGCGTAGCTCTAAGGCCAAGGGCCCTATAATCGTTTTCAGAGAAAACGGTTGCGGGAGAACAGGGGGTGAGAGCACAGAAGCAAGGGCATAGGAAGAGATATAATAACCTTTTACTCTCCTGGGGAGTGAGATTGGTTCGCACTCCTCCTAGTCGCCGCTCGGGCGCCTGGTAGCGGGGGCAACTTCAAGTCACTCGCAAAAGCTTCGTTACAAACGGAACAGATTATCTTGATAATCTATCGCGAACAAACGGCTCGCACGGCATGCCAGCAGGCTGCCCTCTGGGGCGATGTGACGGGCGCTGCTTCACGCACCTGCTGACGTATAAATTCTCGGCGCAACGGGCACTCGGCTGGTATCTTATTACTTTGCAATAAGATGAAACCTTTGGTAGCAGAGCAATCTGGCTGGTGATCGTCATCACCATAAAACAGAGCACACACAGAGGCTGATCAGGCCAGGCGCGATGAAACATACAGGCTGCGAAAGAAGGCAGCGTCCGGGTGGCGGCGAAACACACTGAATGCGGACTAACGTGAGCGGCTGGCAAGCAGCGTCTGGGTGGCGGCGAAAGCAAACTGATTGCGGATAAACGCGAGCGGCTGCTGGCAGCAGCGTCCAAATAGCGGCAAAGCAAACTGAATGCAGATAAACGTGAGCGGCTGCTGGCAGCAGCGTCCAAATAGCGGCAAAGCAAACTGAATGGGCGGGAAACTCATTCACGTGGACTTCTTAGCCCCCTTTTCCGGCGTCGTTCGGCTCGGCGCGTCGGATCCCATCATCTGCGCCCATCGACTCTGGAGCTCATGCCTCAGCGAGTGGTGCATGCGCGAGAAGTCGGGCTGATGCACTCTGTGGTTCCGGCGAAGCCACGACGAGTAGCGCCTGCATGTCCTGCAGGTCGCGTAGACGTGTGCGGGTTATACCCTGCGCGAATGTTGCGCCCTGCCACGGCGCACTCGTTGATCTCCATCGGCGAGACCGTCGGCGTGGAGTTATTCCAGGACACGGTGCTTGCCGATGATGAGCTGGGCACCGTAATGGGTGTGCTCGGTGACGATGATGGGGCGAAGCTGTCCTGCGGCGATGCCGGCGCGGGAGCAGTTGAAGGCCTCGGAGACGGACCTACGTTGTCTGTCGATGAGCTGCTCTGGGCCGCGGCAGCGGCAACGGTCTCCAGGGCGTCGGGCATGAAGATGTCTCCGTCGGCGTCCTCTTCCTCTGGAATCGCGGGCTGCACGTTGTTCCGCCTCCCGAGGCGTCTCCACTCCCAGCCTGGGTGCCGGTCGCCCTCAGCCTTGCCCTCCTGCGGCGGTGGCTTCAGAGTGTTCTGAGCCATGGTGTGCCACATAACGGCGAAGATGCTGAATCCCACCATCATTCCCACGAGCATCGAGAAGCACGTCAGGTAGCACGTGTACCAGTAGTAGTTCATGTCGAACGGCTGTGGGGGCGAAGGAGCCGGCTGACCCTTGACCTTGCCGATACACGTGGCAAGCACGGAGGCGATCATGGCGGCGCTGGGCTGCCTAGGGCCGAAGTTATGCTTCTTGGCGCAAGAAGTTGGCTTCTTGGCGCCCAAGTCAAGCGCAGCTCGCTGTTGGGATGCACGGACTCCTTGATCATGGAGGCGACGATGCGGAGACGCTTGTCGGAAGACTGGCCCACGTCGGACTGGATGTGGGTAGCGAGGCCCTTGCTGTCGCTGTAAACCTCCCCAGGGCGCTTCAAGCTGAGATCGTCGATCTCCTTGAGCGGCGTCTTGGGGTTGTAGGCTTCGGTGAGCAGCTGGCGGAACCATGCGTTGATTTCGGCCCCCTCGAGGGTGGCGTAACCCTCCGCGGCCAGCGTAGACTTCACGGACCTCTTGACGGTACCCGAATGCCAGGCAACTGGTAGGCATAAATCGTATCGACCTCCGACTACATCGCGAGGTCGGTGGGCAAGGCCCATGGCCATGCCCCACTGGCTCTTAACACCGTCGATGTTGGCGAACGCGGCGT